ATGATAATAATATGTTAAAATGAACTTCCAGTTTATTTTTTCAGATCTTGAAAATAAATTAACTCATTAATTGTGCAAATACATATTGATTACATACAATGATTGCCTTTTGTTGATTTTGGGAAAATTCATTTAATGAATTAATAAAGCTTCTATCATATTAGATAGAAATCTTAAGGAAGCCCCAGTGATTTCAAGATTTTGCCCTTTAAGCACAATAGCTGGCACATTAAAAAAAAAACAGTTGCTGTTGAGTCGACTCTGACTCATGGCGACCCCGTGTCTGTCAGAGTAGAACTGTGCTCCACAGGGTTTTCAATGGCTGATTTTTCAGAAGTAGATTGCCAGGCTTTCTACCTAGGTCCCTCCGGTGGACTGGAACCACCAACATTGACTTAGCAGCTGAGCACAATAAATGTTTGCATCCCCAGGGACTGCCTCTGGCACGTAGTAGGCACTAATTAATTCATTAAGTGCATTTTCCCAAAATCAACAGGAGGCAAGTTTTATTTTCCTTACTTTATGCATAAGTGATAAGGTTAAGAGAGTTCACATTAAGTTGTCATACAAGATTCAACACAGATCTCAAAGGCGTGGTGTTTTGTTTTGTTTTCTCCATTACATCCAGGCAGGAGGAATATTAGACACCGATCCTAATACTCACCAATTTAAGGTTTCCTTAGGAAGATAAGCTAAAGCATTTGACAATTCAACAAAAATAAACAATCTGTAGCTTTGTACTTAATTCTAAGTGCTAAAAGAGATTTGAGTAGACAATTCATGATGAGCTGCAATAGTAAGTGAAATCTGTCTGGGGACAGTGGGAGCCGAATTGACTCTGACAGGATTGAGGTGGTGTAGCAGGCTAATGGGAATGAAGGAATGAGAAATATTGCAGGGCTTTGATTAAACCAGGCCTGGCTGGGAATGGCACAGAGTCCAGCTCCACTGTAGCAGAAAGCCATAAGGAATACTCTTTTGGCTAAGTGAGGAAGACATGAATGCCTGACAAGATACAGGAGTTTAAACTCCGCTCAAAACACTAGAAATGTCTGAGTACCTGGATTGCATAGGCAGCAATGTTGAGGGAGTTTAGGCAGCATGCTATCAAGGGTCTATGAAAAGGAGAGAGTCTGGTGGTTCTGTTAGCTTCAGAGAGAAAGGGCTCTATTTTTGTGACTGTGTGATTAGAAGGACTCAGCATCAGGGATGCTGGAAGATACAGCAGCATGAGGCTGTAGTTTTGAATTTACACTGACATGATTAGAAGAAAGGTAACCAGCCATCGACGTCCAACTGGACTTGATTCAGAATCTCACACAGGGTCAAGCCTCGGAAAACAAACATGCAACAAGTTGATTTCGACTCGTAGTCACCGAGCGCTTAACCACTGTGCCACCAGGGTTCCCTCAGGCCCAGAAGAGGCCCTAAAAGACCATCTAGTTTAACTCTTTCAATTTACTTGTGTTTAATCTGAAGTACAAGGAGCTCTGGTGGCACAGTGGTTAAGCACTCGGCTGCTAAATGAATGATTAGCAGTTTGAACACACCAGCTGCTCTGCGGGAGAAAGATGTGTTAAGTCTGCTTCCATAAAGATTAAACCAAACCAAATCTGTTGCCGTCAAGTCAATTCCAACTCATAGTGACCCTACAGGACAGAGTAGAACCACCCCATAGAGTTTCCAAGGAGCACCTGGTAGATTCAAACTGCTAACCTGTTGGTGAGCAGCCATAGCACTTAACCACTATGCCACCAGGGTTTCCTTCACATGTTTAGGGAGGATTAATAAAAACATATAAATATTTCTTCTGCACACTTCTGAGCTAGGGATGCTTTCTTTTTCATATATTCTATCTTTCGGTTATTACAGAAACTTTTTAAAGTTAGATCTCCTTGTTGCCATTTAATTGATGGGGAAACTGAGGCTCGTAAACTTCAAAGGACTCACCAAAAGCCTTCCTCACAAGTCTCCTCCTCTGTTTATGATAGAAAACCTTATGAGGCAGTTCTACTCTGTCCTACAGGGTCGTGCAAAGGGTAATCTGAAGTACAAAGAAGGCATATGATGTATTAAAAATCATTGATTTAGGAAGTAGTGTGGCCAGATGAGGGAAATATTTTATCTTGTTTGTCAAATAGTCCACTGTTTTAAAGGATGGTTGTTGATAAGGTGATATTACTATGTATGTTTTAAAAATATGAAGATATTAAATGGTTCTAGCAGAAAAGAAAGGGGTTATACCTTCTTTGGTTTCTATAGCCAACCCTTGAAAATAAGGAAGATAATATTGGTTAGTGATTCAGCAAAATAGATTGTATTTTTTGAGTGGTATATCATATGGAGTTTGTATCAATTCAAGAAGTAAATTAAATAATATGGTGTATTTTATCGTATCTTTTTTGCATTTCTCTAGTACACTGGATTGGAGGCATTTATTTGATTATAATTCTTTAAAGTTTTTTTACGCTTTGTCTGAAATACATATGTTTTGTAAAAAAATATTTTTTATCTACATTCTTTAAAACATCCTTTATTATTTTCCTGATAAATCTTGATTGTTCCTTTTATTTTCTGATTTTGGTCTGAAAGGACAGTCTTAACATAATGGCATTTACATTGTCTTTTTCAAAACATGGTTTGATCTGTTACCGGATACAGAAGCTCACAGAAGTCCACTGGGATATGTCAGGCAGTAATGTAGGCTATCGGTGAAGAAATAAGGGCTGAGAAATCTTACATTAATTTATCAAGTTCGTGCAGCAAGTTAATGTGAAGTAAAGGCGAGACTGGAATTAAAAATTTGATTTACATTCTTTACACTAAATCACAAGAATATAATTTGGGGGAGAAGTTAGAATAGAGCAGCAAATTCTTTTAAAATATTAGGAATACTTTGGAAAGCCTAAAATGCAATTGTTATTTAGGTTAGAAGGTTTATTTGACTATTTAGGATATCCTGTCTTCATTATTCAGTACAATGAATACCAAACGCCATGGTGTGGCAATTGACATTGTGGTTAACTCTCATACTCTGTATAGATTTATACATCTTTTCCCCCCTTTTAAAAACCCTACTTGATCTTAAGAGATTTAGACCACTGAAAGGAAAAAGTGGGGGGAAAGGGGGGTGTAGAACTTACAGTTTTGAAAATAATTGATATTAGTTGTAAATGTCTTGGTATTATAAGTAATTGACATAAAATATTTTAAATAGTATGGTTCAGTGTTTTCTATAGTTGAAGTAGAATGTAATTTTATGGTGTGATTTAATGGAATGATTGAAAGCTTGTTTCCTAATGGCTCTTCCTTAGCTTATCACTGATGCTTGAAATTCTCTAAGTGAGAGTTTTTTATTTGTCTTAAGGTTTAAAATATATTACTGTAGAAACGATAGAGTCTGCAGTATATTACTTTATAACAGTGACACAGAGGAGGAAAAAGTAAAAATAATCTGAATGAAAGAGGGAAGAGGCAGCCTGAGATTCTAAGCCTGACAATGCAGGCACTAAGGAGCATACATGTTCAGAATGGCTTGTTAGTAATAGTTGGACAAGTTTTGTACATGAATCAAAGAGAAGCCAATTTGTCCAGATGGGTATGGCATTGGGTAAGACTTCAACAATCCAAGGTAAACCTATTATGGCTATCCTCAAATGCCTTGCTGAATGTCAAATACACCAATATTTAGTTGCTAAGTTTGAGATGACAATGTTTTGAAAATAAGGATAACCATAATGTTATTATCCCTTGGATTGACTTTGAAATAGAATCCTTCATTTTAAATTAAAAAAGTTGAACTTTCATTAACATTCTTATCAACTTAAAATATCTTTATGAATCTATAATCTAAGGTTTTCTGCTGGGAGCCAGTATTCTAAATATGTGTTCTAGGAAGTAGCACAGTAATGAATTGTTCATTCAAGACAATTTTTCCCATTTTACAGGTGAGAAAATTGGGGCGATAGTTAAGACTATGAATATGCTGTTTAACTTAGGGTTGGAAATCTAACTTGAATACGAAGGAAAATAACAGAGGATTTGGCTAAAATTTATTACATTAAATAAAATAGTATAAAACGTTAAAATTACCAGAGATATGCAAATTATTTTATATCTACTACCTTAGTAAATCTCCATGATAATGCTTTGGGGTAATGCACTCTGGTGCTTAGAACTGAGGATTTAAGCACATATATACCACATATACATGATATAGCTGTGATTTTTGGTTAAAAAAATGCCCAGATTCAATAATGTCAATCATGTCAAACATATCCAAAGTAAAGTCAATTGTATTAAAAAAAAAAGAAAAGAAAGCATAACAAAAATATAGCAAATTATAGGCATGTATCAAATTGCCTCATAATTCAAAATACATTTGTTGATTTTTCTAAGCTTTGCATGTATAATATATGCAGGAAATTTCTCATATATAACATTATTAACACATTACATTTCATATATTTGCATATGCTTTTTTGTATTTTCATTCTTACTATTTCATTTATGTGTATATTTTTTCATTAAAAACAGTAAGACTAGCAAAAAAATCTGATTTTTTTTTTTTCTCTAAAAGGGTGAATTTTATAATTCTATTGCGGCATAATACCCAGGTGATGTTTGATAATACATGTTGATAGAGTGATTAAATAAATATGCCATATTCTATAATATGCTATATATTTATCGATGGCACACAGCAACAGCAACAACATATATACAAGAAGCCCTGCCTGTGCAATTGGTAAGTTCTCAGCTGCTAACCAAAAGTTGGTGGTTTGAACCAACAGCTTCATAGGAGGAAAGACCTAGAGATCTGCTCCCATGAAGATTACAGCCTAGGAAACCCTACGGGGCAGTTCTCCTCTGTCATGTAGAGTTGCTCTAAGTCAGAATCAACTCAAGGGCACGCCCAACAACATGTGTATGTGTATATGTATATATATGTGTGTAATATATGTAAATTTCATCTCAGAAATCTAATATGTTGCCAGCAATTGATGTTTTCAAGAAAGGGACAAAGCACTCTGCAGAAAAGTTCCTAAATAAAAATCAAATTTCTATTTTCTTCCATCCTTGAGCCATTTTTTTCATTATAATCTCCCCCTTGCAAGGAATGATGTGCATCACCACATTTAACTAGATCTCATAAGAATTCATAGTTTATCTAAATTGCAGGTGGCTAAAACTGCTCTGGATCATGGAAAATAGGAATAACATCACAGAATTTATTCTCTTAGGACTGTCTCAGCAAAAAGAAGTAGAAATTCTCTGTTTTTTACTATTTTTACTTTGTTACATTGCAATTTTGGCAGGAAACCTGCTTATCATGATTTCTATCACCTGCAGTCAACTTATTAACCAGCCCATGTATTTCTTCCTGAGTTTCCTCTCACTCTCAGACCTTTGCTACACCTCAACTGTGATACCTAAGCTAATCATTGACTTACTGGAAGAAAAGAAGACCATTTCCTACAATGGCTGCATGACACAACTCTTTACCATGCACTTCTTCGGGGGGATCGAGGTCTTCATTCTCACAGGGATGGCTTATGACCGCTATGTTGCCATCTGCAAGCCCCTGCACTACACGGTCATCATGGGCAGACGGAGGTGTGATGCCATGATTGCTGCTTCCTGTGCTGGGGGGTTCCTGCATTCCTTTGGTCAGTTTCTGCTTGCCGTCTTCTTACCCTACTGTGGCCCCAATGAGATAGATCACTACTTCTGTGATGTCTATCCTTTGCTGAAACTGGCTTGCACTGACACCAGCAGAATTGGTCTCTTGGTCATTGCCAATTCCGGCGTGATGGGTCTAGTGACTTTTGGGGTCTTGCTGATATCTTATACTGTGATCTTATACACTATCAGGTCCTACCCCAAGGAGAATCGTAACAAAGCTCTTTCCACATGTAGTTCTCATATCACTGTGGTGGTCTTTTTTTTTGCTCCCTTACTCTTTATTTACATTCGACCAGCAACTACTTTACCAGAAGACAAAGTGTTTGCTCTTTTTTATACTATCGTTGCTCCCATGCTTAACCCTCTGATTTACACATTAAGGAACATGGAGATGAACAGTGCCATAAATAAACTATGTTCCCGTATTATGGGAAGGAGAAGGAATAGACTGAAAGACATTCCTGCTTGTCACCACAGAGCTTGTTGAATATGTATCTTCTCTACCCTAAGAACTTTAAAATGCATAAAGCTCATCTCTGTCTCTTGTATCTAGCAAAATGTATAGGCTCAGATATGAAAACAAGTTTAATATTTCCTGGATTTATACAGACATCCTCTCTGCTGTGCTTTGTTTTTTATATTCTTGTCTTGTTTATATGTCCTCTGCACCACTGATTCTTTGGTTCTATCAGTAATTTAGATATTTAGCAGCAGGCCACTCAGAGAAGTGTGCAAGCCAAATCAAAAGAGAGTCCATATATAGCTCATTCTTGTGTGATTATGTTTAGTGAAGACAATTCCAGCCATCAAACTATAATGTAAAATCAATTCTAATCTTTCACATGCATCACTCAGAGAATACTTTAAAAGATCTCATTTATACCATACAACAATACTTCTGAAAATTTTCATCTTCTACTCTGATAATCATGTAACCAGTATCGTTCTGGAGTTTCTTATATGCCTAACACCAACATGCTCTCTCAAGCCCCAGAGCAAAACCATATCTTTTCTTCCAACTTACTTTGTCTCCTAGCTCTGTTCATATGCAAATCAACTTCACATCTCTGGTAAATTCTAGCACCACGTAAAAAAAAAAAAAAAACCAAATCTGTTGCCATTAAGTTGATTCCAACTGACAGCAACCCTACAGGACAGAGTAGAACTGCCACATAAAGTTTCCAAAGAGTGGCTGGGGGATCAGAAGTGCCGAACTTTTGGTTACAGCCTGAGCTCTTAACCACTGTGCTACCAGGGCTCCCACACCATACAGTGTGTTGGTTAAGAGTATGGACTCTGAAGCCAGAATCTCTTGATTCAGTGCCACACTTTGTAGCTTACTAAAGGTGTAGCTCAACTTTGTTAGGGCAACTCTATGTCCCAACAAGGCATCTGTGGTATGGAGGTAATGATACTGGTATACCACTCACAGGCTTGTGAGGATTATATGTGAGGTGCTACAATAGTACTCGTCACATAGTAAGTACTCAATATGTATAAGATATTTTTATATCCAACCTCCTGTTATTTACCATTCTCGTAATGACTTTCTTCTGAAGCAGAGGGGGGCGTGAGGATGGAAAAAAGACAAGGAACACTCATACACAAATCTCGTATTTGTGAAACAAGTGGAATAAAATTTTTCACTGCAAGTTTTCTTTATTTGTTTTGTTTTTGTTTTTCCTAGCTCTTTAAAAACTAAAAGCAATTCTTTTTCCCCAGTGGTAATTCCAAGTCACCCTGGAGCATATTTGCCTCAAATCAGAAAGGACTAGGAGCAAAAACAGGTCACTGGGTAATTGCTTAAGATTAGAGAGGCACTCAAAGATCATAAGAAACTCTACTGACAAGAAAAGTTTTGCATAAAAATATATTTTCAGGTTGGTATAGAAGCCACAATAAATAAAAATGGTTCATACTGTCAAAGGATCCTATGATGGTTGCAGAATATAAAGATAGAGTAGTACTTGGGCTCAGTTTAAACTGCCCAACAAATAAAATTGCAAACATGACATACTAAAAATTCTTGAAAAATATCCTAGCATACTTTCCTGGTTGTTCTGTATCTAATTCTTGACATTTATCTCGAAAGAGCCTGAGTCGGGTGAGAGCTGGGCACATGTCAGAACAGCAACACAACAGAAATTTGCAAAGTCTCTTTCTGGAGTACAACAAACAGTGTTTCTGATAAGAATACTCACAAATCCTTGAATTGTATCTTTGTTTCAGAAGCTCTATTCTCTAACTTAGTAGACCTACATTATTAGAAAATAAAACTTCAAAAAAATACAGCAAATGTTTCTCTTTTATTTTTACTCTTGGAATAAAAGTTTTGAACAGGGATTATTAAAACATCTGTGGCAAAAACAAACAAAAAACATTGCAAATACCAATCATTAGCAAGGAATCCCTACTTTAACTCCTTCTTTTATGCACCGGCTCTCATTTCTTCTCACCGTCTCAAGGGCATCACTACATGGATTCTCCCCTCTTCCTCTGCATCTGTGATTTTTTCTCTCTTTGGTCATTGATATCAACATAAAAGCTGTAGGGGAAAGTGATGAGAGTCTTTGCAATTTAGTGGGTATCCTGACTAGATTTTCCATCCCAGTTACCCACCACTCATTGTCTTTGACTAGGATATTTTACAACTTTGTAGTTGTAGAAGTTAACTTGTAGAAAATGATAGCAAGGCCAATAATGCCTGTCCATGGAGATACAAATAGGTCCATGGAATGTGAATATTGATGGGACTTGCAAGTTTTGCATCCACTTGTAAATTAATTTCAGCCTCTTTTACCAGACTCGATGTGTGATACTTTGTGTTCTTTCCAATGGTAACATCTCAATACCAAAAACCAAACCCATTGCCATCGAGTCTATTCCAACTCATAGGTACCCTGTAGGACAGAATGGAACTGCCCCATAGGGTTTCCAAGGAGCGCTTGGTGGATTCAAACTGCTGGCCTTTTGTTTAGCAACTGAGCTCTTAACCACTGTGCCACCAAGGCTCCATCTTAGTGGTTGCCCCATTAAATAATGAGTTAAGTAAAATCTTTGACGTGTTTATTTTATATTTGTATAAGAATCACAATTATATCTTCTTTTAAAATGTATTCTTTAACAAAATAAACTCATTCATGTCATCTAAAACAAAACAAAAATCTCTTTTGTGCTTGCTTTCCCTTCCCGTTTTCTTTCCCAGAATCTGATTTCTTATCTTCCTATGCTCACTGTATCTAATTTCTCTCTTCCCAGTTTTATTGTACCCTCTCCAATCAGGTTTTTTTTTTTTTTTTTTTTTTACCTCTATCATTTTGCTCAGGCTTCTCTTATCAAGGTCACCAATGACTTTCATACTGATAAATCCTGGGGTTGACAGAATTCATCACTTTTTTCATTAAGACATTTTGACTTGGATTTGGGGTCTCCACACTGTCCTGATTTTCCTCCTATGTTTTTAACTATGTGCAATTTCTTTTCCTGGCTTCTGCTTGTCTTACTGAACTCTTTATTAGTGTTACAGGGCTCAGTCCACATTTCATTTATCCATTCATCTACTAATGGACACTTGGGTTGTTGCCACCTTTTGGTGAATGTGAATAATGCTGCTATGAACCTTGGAAGATCCCTGGGTGGTGCAAGCAGTTTGCCCTCAACTACTAACCTAAAGGTTGATGGTTCAAATCCACCCAGTAGATCCATAGAAAAAAGGCCTGGTGATCTGCTTCTGGAAAGATTGCAAGCAAAAAAAAAAGAAAACTCTACAGTGCACAGTTGTACTTTGTAATACATTTTGTTTTTGTTGTTGTTGTTTAGAGTATCCTGAAATTAGCAAAGCATAGTGACTAAGAATGTGGTATCTGAAACTAGATTGTCTGGGTTTTCATCCCAGAGCCATACTTTCTGCCTGTGTAACCCTGGGAAGGTTTCTCAACCTCTGTCCTTCAGTGTTCCCACCTGTAAAGGTGAGATAATAATAGTTTCTAACGATAAGATTAGCCCGAGTACTACATAAGTAACAGAACAGTATTTGGCACATAGTAATCATTAAATTAATTTTAGGTATTAACATGTATTTGGATATCTTGTATAGGTGGTTTTTGAGACAAGACAAAACCAAACTCACTGCCGTCAAGTGTATTCTGACTCACAGCAGAAGAGACAAATTGATTCTTTACCTGAACTGACACTTAACACAGAGAAAATAAGCAATTAGAATATGGCAAGTACACTCAGACTCAAGGGTTCAGTGGGAAACAGATTTCTCAGCTAAACAAAGCCTCATTATGAAAAACTGGTAGATACGGTAACATGATCAAAGAGCTATGCAAATCCATTTGAGTTAGGTCAGAAAATAGAGCTCATTTATAGCGAGGAGGAAGGAGTCCTGGTGGTATAGTGCTTAAATTTTCATCTGCTAACTGAAGGGTTGGTCATTCAAATCTACCAGTTGCTCTGTAGGAGAAATATGTGGCAGTCTGCTTCCATAAAAATTACAGCCTTGGATACACTATGGGACAGTTCTACTCTGTCTATGGGGTCTCTATGAGTTGGAATTGACTCGATGGCAATGGAGATACCCAGGATGATAGAGAATGTAACTGAGAATAATGCAAACATGTCAGTTGACAAACATGGATCTAGAGAGATGTTTTCATTTATTCCAGCAAAATTAGGAAAAAAAGGTCATGAAAGAATATTGTAGAAAAAAGAAAAGTTAATGTTATCAGAAAACATAGAGAAAAAGCAAACAGTGCATATTATTTTCTATGGGGACAAGAAGAAAAAATGTTTGCTGTCCTCAACAGGTTGTGAGAATATGCCTCTATAAGACTGAGTCAAAAAGTTTTAAGGAGAATAGCCTGATATTGAAAAGAAAAAGAATGTCAAAACAGAAACGGTTAGATTAGGAGGAATCATGAGGAGAGATAAAATTAATAGAAAAATTAAAATCACCTCTGATGGCTTTTAAAAAGTAAAATTGAAAATGTTGGCCATCAAATGCTGGAAACTTGAGAAGTTATCTCAATATGAAAAAGACAGAGAAAGAGAGATGAAAACAGTAAGGGAGATTATAATTAATATGGCAGATAAAGAAATTGAAATATACTGCAACGATTACGTGTTTTCCTATAGTTACAGTCTAAACACAATGAGACTAAAATATAATTTTCATGATTTGAAAAATAAAAAGTTTAAATAAAAGCAAATCTGAGCATGCAGATCTAAAGTCTTTTAAAAAATCTATAAAAATAGATCCATTCATAGACACTTATTGAATGTTTAAAACAATTTCAATGATAAATGAACAAAAATATCTGACAAGCTTTCAGGAAAGACAATAAAGACAAAGTAAATTTATCACATGATTCCAGGTTTCAGACTAATGTAAGGGTAAGATTGTTTTAGCTACAAAATGGATAAGAAAATTCAATTTCCTGTAGAGTTACTTGAAGACAAATTGACAAGACAACCAGAAATTAG